AACAGAGCCATAAAAGTGCTATAAGAAATAACTGATACATTATTTTTAGTGTCATCACTAAAGAGAGAATTTTCTTAAAATACAAAGTACACAAACAAATTAACAGGAAACAACACAAAAGAAAATAGCCTAAGGAATTACATTATACTGTATTATAAACACAAAGAACAAATAAATATTTGAGATAAGTGAAGAACTCACTTATAATAATCAAAATTTTAACTAAAATAATTATATGCCTTTTAAAATTTGGACAGGCAAGGATTTTAAACATTGATAAGACCCAGTATTAATAGGTGTTTTCAGAATCAGAATTCTTATATGTCATTTTTGGAAGACAACTTAGAATATCTAAAAATTCACAAAAGTTTGATTCTCTATTTCTGGTACTAGGAATAATCCATATGCTAATTGTAAGAATTTTTTTGACAGATTGCTGTTATCTTGAAACTTGGCAATCCCCTATTTAACCACAAGTAGGGGAGAGCTTAAATAATGGGGGGCACACATCTATAAAATACAACAGCATGAGTCATTAAAATAAATGAAATATGTATCTCTAAATGCACAAAGAAAATGAAGAGCAGTATGAACAACAGGACTCATTCTATATAAAGAAAGCATCACATATATATAATAGCATATATTATGTATATAAATTAACAGTAGCTAATTTTATTGATGGAAATTCTATATGCTCCCTGGGTAAATCACAAAGAAGAGATAAATGACTTTTTTAAAATTATGTTCTGTTAAAACCTCTTTCTAGCAAATGTATTTCTAACATAGTTGTTAAATCTTAATTTTTTTAGCCCTAATGCCATCAACTTTGTGAATTGTCCCAAGATTACAAGAGATAGAATCAATCTCTTTTATGGTAAATATTTATATTTCTCATATTGTATAGCTCTTTTAGTTGGTTTGCTTAATTTGACTTATATCTCCTACTATAATGAATGTTATTGATAGTAGAGCTGATATTTCATGGTAGGTAAGAACACATGTCTGTCTGTCTATATGTCTCTGTCTCTCTCTCTCCAAGTTCATATCTATCTTTCCATACAAAACAAATTGCATAACTATCCCCTTGAGTCAATGCCCCCTTTTCTTAGTTTATTCAATCAGTTTGATTATTCATTTTAGAAAATTATGATTTGCAGTTCCGTGCCTGGGATACTCTTCCATATCATCCATCCTTTGAAGCTATCTCAGATTTTTATCCTTCAAAACTTTCTTGACACTTATAAAGCTTATAATTTCTTTTTTTTTTTAAGATTTTTATTTATTTATATAAGAACCAGGGTACAGGCCAGATGTTTGGGAGGGTGAGAGGATTCACCTGAGACAGAGCTGGGAACAGAACAGGCAGATTGATGAAATACACTGCTGAGGGGAGCAGCAGGAGAGACAAGAAAGGTCTGCCGCACCATGTGGGCATCTCATGGGCTGGCCAGGATCGAACCTGCACTGCAGAGGCCATGGATAGCCTCACAGTGTGGCGCTCAACCTCCTGTGCCACCAGGGGAGGCCCAGAAAGCTTATAATTTCTTTGTATTTTTACATCCCTTAGAGGATATTTGTGTATATTTGGTCTTTTATTACATATTCCCAAATCTTCTGAAATATATATTTAGATTAAAACCCAATACAAGGGCCCCCTGGTGGCCTAGGGGTTAAATTTCAGCACTGTATCCGGCCTGTGAGCTAACAAACATGGCGCAGCAGTCCTCTCCTGTCTGCCCACTGCTCCCCTCAGCTGTGTATTTCAGTAGATCTGCCTGTTCTGCTCCCCACTCTGTGTCTGGTGAATCCTCTCCCCTCACCCTAACCCCTGCACCTCTGGCCTACAACATACACCTCAGCTCTTCTACACAAAAATAAATTTAAAAAATTAAATTAAACTAAAAAAAATCCCATACACTATTGTGTTGATTAAAACAGAAACTCCTAGTGAGAAGCCATTCTATTATATTCTAAGAAGAATGTCTGGTGGATTTTGCAGATGGAAGTTGGATTTTGTAGATGGGTTTTGCAATTTGCAAGGATTAGAGATATACAAGGGGAACACTGAAGAATTTGTATTATACAAACCAAACTTACTATAAGGAGAAAACAAATGTCCAATATTGTTTTATTGATATCCTATCAATAAACAGACTGCAAAGCACTAATATAAATCTTGTTCCAAAGTAGGAAAGTTTTCCTTTGTAATTCAGAGTTAGTCAATAAAAGAGAGTTGGTCAAATAAAATAATGAATTAATAGGTAAACTAAACAGAAGCAATCACATTAACAGGCTTGTCCTTAATAGTTTATTCTTGGGTTTTGTCTTACTTTTGAAAGCCATAATCATCTTATCTTTTTACTAGGGCAGACGCTTTTTATTAGGAAGAAGTCTAAAAGCAAAATTCAGAAAATAGAAGGTAAGCACCAATGGGAAATGACTGGAAGGTTTAGAAAGACCAGAGTGAAAAACCTTTTCAAAATGGGATTGGCAAGTTGGCTTCCTGCAATTTAATGAAAATATTTGTATAGGCCAAAACCTGTGTTTGGTTCGAGCTAAGCGAATTTCCTCTGGTGGTGCAAGAAGAAAGGGAAGGCAAATGATGAAGCAGAAATTACATGCCATCACCTCCCCAGAAATACTGCAGGCTTGTGGCTATAACTATATAAGGGGCTCTCTGCAGTCTCAGAATGAAAAAGAACTATGTGTCTACATTCTATTTCTGTCCTTACAAATTTCTGATTTTTTTTTTGCAGCTATCTAAGAAAAATTTGATATTGTTGTTGTCTAAGCACATTTAAACTTCAGCTGAAATAACTGCCAAGTGATTCATGCCTATGTAGGTGAATATAATGATGGTATCTGGAGCCCCAGTGGGCCATTTTCATTTCACTTTAAATAAAAAACAAAATGTATCTATGTCAGTCAGTGCCCTTCTGCTGTACTCAGAGGTATCAAACAGGCTACAATTATGATTGTGAAGTGATTGTGTCACATTGGAGGAAGGTTTATTGCTTTTGAGTCTGCTAGGCAGTAACACATTCTGTTTCATATTACTCTTTATATCATTGTTTGGCTGTGACTAGAATAATCAAATGCCATCAAATGCTGTCAAATTCAATTTACAGTATTTTTCATTGAAACGGGCTTTCTGCATTAGATTTCCTGTTTTCCCTCTCCAGAACTGCCAAGGAGTAGTCACTGTAATCATGAGTTTTATTTACAAAACTAACAGAGTGAAGCCACGTCCTGGTCTATAACAGATACTTTATTTCCCTTTATTCAGAATAGGAATTTGATGTGCTTTTCTCATGCAATTAGCATTAAGTAGATGAAAGAAAACTATTCCAAGAGGATGGGCATTTGAGAGCTTGCGCTAATGTGCTTATCCCAAAATGTAAATTCACATTAGCTATTTTTGTGTGTTCATGTGTATTTGAATCAGAAATATTATTCTTCAAATTAATGTTTGCTGGGAAGAAATTGGTCTTGCTCATTTCGGCCTTGTCGTTTACATAACCAGAAATGCAATAACACTGTCTCCTTTCATAATTTTCCTATAGGCCTTGAGTTCATCTCTGAAGATTGATCTGAATCACAGAATTTCAGTACCTGAACTTGCAAGAGGGAGGGAAGGGAGTTTCAGGATGCACCCTGTGGCAGACATGGGGCCAAACAAGTGAAGGGCCAGCCTGCTGGAAAAGCGAACAAATGACTTGGGTAGGAATGAAGAGCTGGGAAAAAAAGGTGTGCTTTGTCTTCCTACATTAGCACTTTGCTTTTGGAAGAGGGAGTTTTCATCCTGCAAACCCTATGTCTGCAAGTGTCTATCTCAGAGCATGCTGTGGGCTGTCTCAATTCATGGGTTTAAATCTTAACCCCCAAGGTGATATATCAGGAGGTGGGGCCTTTGGGAGGTGATTATTTCAGAAGGGTGGAGCTCCATAAATGGTTTGAGTGCCTTATAAAAGAGACCCCATGGAGCTTTTCTAGCACCTTCTACACAGTGAGGACACCATGCAAATGTGGTGCCAGTGGACCAGGAGCGGCCCTTGCCAGACATGCAACCTGCCAGCCCCTTTTTCATGGACTCCTCAGAACCATGAGAAAAGCATGTTGTTCATTATGCATCAGTTTTTGATGTTGTTATAGCTGTCCAAGCAGACTGGAGAGGTGGGCAAGCTCACAGCTGATAGGTTCTTTGCCCTCTTGACTCTGTCTTAACTTTACTTTCTGCTTCCCTGCTTCCTTAGTCTGTCTGTCTCTCATACTTTCTCTTTTCATTCCTTTCTTTCTTTCCCTCCTTCCCTCTCTTACTCTCCCTCCTTCCACCTCCTCATTATTCATTATTTATTTAATGAAAACTTTCATTAAAGCTATATACACAATGATACAGTGAAGAGTGGATCTGGGAGCATAATACCCTTCAAGCCCAAATTCCCCTGCTGCCTCTCTCTTTTTCTCCCTCCATGTTCTCTGACTTTCTCTTCATTTCAGGCAGATACACTGTGTACATTATGGTGAAAAACCATCCACCAGGCAGAGGGAGACTCATCCAGAGGAAGGGACTGCAGAGTTCAGCCACTGCTACTTATCAAACCCACTATCTTTTAAGAGTGAGAAAAAGCCTCTCCACCCTTCACATGATATTTGATGAGAGATGCTGGACTTCTCTTTCAGACCTGGTCCTTTCTGGAATGACCGTGTTCTCTTGGTTCCTGAAGCTCTAGAGGTGTTTGCCATTTCATCAAATATCAGATTATCTGGTCTGGAGGTCTTGCCCTTCAAACAGGGCTCAAGCCCAAAGTTCATGTAATACTTTCTTCTTTGCTTGGATAATGTGTATAAGTTTCTAGCACCACTCTACACCCCAAGTAGGTGCTTGCAAAAGATGAATTCCCATCTGCCAGCTTGTGGAAACTAAATATATTTATTCTGCAATCTGGGAAGAGTAGCATTCTTAAATAATTAACAATAATAGTTATAGTTGATGTTACCTGTGAATGAAGTAGTTGGTGATGACTCCATTTGGTTTTTTTGGTGGCGTCCATTTAACTTCTATGCAAGCTGATCCCAGTGCTTTGAGAACAGGGGCGTCTAGATCCTTTGGGACAGCTTCAGATGTTTTGACAAACATCCTATCACTAATTCCACAACCTCCTTGAAAAAGAATTAAGACCTTTAGTAATTTGTTAGGCAGGAAAAAGAGTTACATATGCAAATGGAAGGCTAAGGATAGCACAAAAATAATTTGTTTTATACTTTTGTATATACACTTGCACATCTACATTAGGTTAGTTAGTACTACAAATCTATAGGATTTAAATAAATAGCAAACCATTTTTGGAAAATCCATTAATAAACCACATAGTTGTATAAGTACAGGCAATAAAGTTTATGCTTGTTTGAACTGAGGTTCCTCTAGTTTATTGCCGTCATTTCAGCCAGAAAGTGATAATGTTCTTGAAATTTCTGTGTGTGTGTGTGTGTGTCCTGCACATCTTGTATGCTTTAAAATCTTTTATTTTGGGGGGGTGATATTATTTTAAATACTTTAAAATAATGACTGTTCTCTCAGCACACAGGAACCAAATCATCAACTTGGAGGATATTCTATCTTCATCACACACTTTTAGGAACACAGAGATGTAGGAGTTGATTCTGCATTGAAATCAAGAAAATGTGAACTCAAAGTTATTTCCAAGTGGATCAGCTGAAGCCTTGATTAGGGAAAGCAGTGCTCTTCAAACCAACATATTTAGTCTAATTTGTAGAGAGATGTTGGCAAACTGACAATTTTGGAGCTGAAGAGTAGCAAAATTGTAGACCCCCAGTCCTAACCATCTGTCTGGGGATGAGCCCTCAGTAGAAATGGAAGTACCTTGGGCATGTCATACAGGCACTCTGATTACATGCTGAGTGGAAGATTGGTAAATTCCTTTAATCTAAGGTGAAGCAACATGTCTTGTATGCCAGTGTAAGGCATGACTTTCTTCTCTTACAACTGAGTGTCGTATGTCATACAACATTTGGAGAGATGAGGGAGTGAAAGGGGCTCTTCCTAAGATCACACAGGTGGATGAGGATGTCACTGACCACTAGTCTAAGCCACTCAAGGTGGCAGTTGAGGAACATGACCCAGGACTCGGCAGCACAGTAAAATGTGCAAGATTCATTTGAGTAAGTTACCTCAATTTATGAATAACTTCTCCCATCTACCCTCCCCTACCCCATAAAACTCAAATAGAATCAAGGTGAGTACATTTGTTATGATTTCTTTATAATAAGTATTTTTTTATATTACCTGTGATTCTCTTTATGTGAGCAAGGTGTTTTTCTTTTCAAGAGTCTTATAAAACAAGACTTTGCAAAACCACCATTTTAATGTATTTAAATATTCATGATTTAATGTGCGGAAATGCATAATGCTTCACTCAATGCCAGGCTCTGATTTTTCTTGGTAAACAGTCCAGCACAAATAAGAAATGTTAGTCATCGTATTTGAATTGAGAATCAATTCCTTTTTAATGAAATTTTTAATAAAATACATTTGATGAAAGACCAGGACAAGTGTTTGAAAGACTTTTACCATTTTGACATGCTTGGATCCTTATCTCATACTGTGTGAATGGAGCCAAATTTTCCAGAAGGAAGGACTGGTGATGACCAGCAGAGGAACTCAGAGGTGCTGGACTTCCAGCATTGAGTAAGACGTTGTACTCAGTGGGCACTTTGGAGGTAAGGATCCCTTAAAGGAGAAAGAGAGAATAAAAGCATTTATGTATGCAATAAAGAACGGTCAACAAATGTTTGTCCTTTAAGATTTAACAATGTCTATTTAAAATTTTAGGCTGTTGAGTTAGACAATTTATTGCTTAACATAGCAATTAAAAGATGCATGAAACTTAAGCAGAAAAATAACAGAACGTATATTCCAAAGGTGAAAAATGTGCATCATCCATTTTCAAAAACAAGTGAAATGGAATAGCTCTATACAAAAATATACTCTATGGGCAAATAAAAATGAAGTCACGTTTTGCTTCTAAAAAATATAAGGCAATTAGAAATGGTGTCATATATTTTCCCTAGGCTTATTTACTCTAAAGTACATAAAAAAAAAACTACCAGTTTTGCTTGTGACAATAATTTTTCTGTAGGCATTGTGTATGCATCCAGTCTGACATGGATCCTTGACATAATAGCCCATAAACTATCCAAATCACAGGCTACCTAGAGAATTCCCAGTGCATTAATTATTGAGTCAGGACAGTCCACTCTGTCAGTAAGACTTATGGACCTAAATACATATGAAATTTGGGTTCAAAAACTGTCATTTTTTTACAGGGCTTCCTAAAGGAAGAAGGTCTTGTCATTTGAGCTTCTTTACAGTCTAGTAATAATTAAATCCTGTAAGTTTTATTTGGTCATGAACAGTATGCACACTTCTTCAAGGTGAAGATAGGAGCCTTCAACAAAGAATATAATGGAGTTTCCCACTGAATTTTCTCAATGATCTGATAGCTTACAACATTTGTGCCTCTAATTACTTACCCTTGTAGCATGTAAATAAGTTTGTCTTTGCTACAGAAACAATGAATCTATACACTAGGAAGACAGAACAGGACTCAATAACCCAGGAGAGATGAGGTCTAAAAAGGGAAATGCGGTTTTTCATTTTGTGCATGTAGCCCCAATGCATAAGCAGGAACATACCAGAATGCTTGGATTCTGTGTAGGATTAATGACAACAAGGAGTCTCCGAAGGAAATATTGATCAGAATAAGAAGACTGCTATGGAAAGGTACTAGCATGTCTGAATTTGGCAACTCAGACTGCGAATTAAAATTTTAAATTGAATTCTAGAGCATCCTTGTTGAACTGTTCCATTTGTCCTAGTAGCTTACATTACTCCTATCATGGATTCCTCACTTCTTATCTCTGGCTTTATATTTCTCATATTTTCCAGATTTATATTTCCAACAGACTTCTTTACAGAGATCTCAATTTCAATAGAACCAAAAGAGAATATTTACATTTTTTTTATTCCTAAACATGTTCCTGTTCTTGGGCTTCCTTTCTCCATTTCCCTACACCAGAGGACTTCAGAGTAACATGCATAGAATAGACCCTTCTTTCAGGCCTCCCCGGTGGCACAGCGGTTGCAAAGCTGCCCGCAGCCTAGCCAGTTCGATCCCAGCCCGCTGGGCGAGGGTCCCACATGGCGCGCAAACCTCTCCTGCCGCCTGCTGCTCCCCTTAGCAGTGTACTTCATTGGTCTGCCTGTTCTGTTCCCTGCTCTGGCTCTGGTGAATTCTCTCACCCTCCCACACTTCTGACTGTACCCAGTGCTTGTATAAATAAATAAATAAATCTTTAAAAAAAAAAAAAAAAAGAATAGACCCTTCTTTCTTCACTCCCCCCTCAAGTGGTCACTAAATTATTTCCTCCAGGTTATCAATTATTTCCTCCAGGTAGTTGGGCTTTATATAGAATCAGCCACGGGACACTTTGAAAGCATTAACATGATTTAATCTATATTTTAGGAAGGGGATATGCTGGTGGGCAAAGATGGATGGAAAGCTTGAAAGACAAGGGGCAGGGATATCAGTTGGAAAGTCATGGTAAGGTCACAGCAATTACACAAACAAGATCAGTCATTTTACTGGTTTCGGCTTTATGCCAAGCAGCTTTAATAATCTCAGTTAATACCACTCACGAGTCAACTTCATAAAGTCAGGGACTTAGGTCTTGACCCCAATGTACTTCTGATGTCTAGATTTTAGCACAAAGTAGCACCTCAGTGAATGATGGAAAGTTATTCATGGAAAGTTCATTGGCGAGAGGAAGCTCATGAATGATGGAGTTGACTGAGTAAATGAATAAAATCTCATGACAAGACTGTAAGGTAAATATTATTACTATTTTCTAAATATTAGAAAATGAAGACCAGAGGAGTTAAGTATCTTGTTAAAGATTTCACATTAGTTAATTAGGGAAGCTGGGCTTAAATACAGGACAATCTGGCAACAAGTTTATGCCTCTATATTAATGCTTTCCCTTCATGATGAAGACTTAAAGAAAATTAGGACAACGAGGGGTGAAATGAAAGATTAATTTTGAGAGAACATGTGTAGATAGAATGAGTACTGGAGACTCATTAAATATAGTAAAAAAGGGATGGAATATTAGAACCCCCACTGATGGAGCAGTGCCAGGAAGCCAGCAGAATCCTACTGTTCCTTGTTTATAAAAATCACAAAACTAGAAAACAATAGGTAAATGATGTGATGAGAACTTTCACTAGCCAGTTGCCTCAGAGTGAACTAACTATCCAATAGCAGAAAAAGTTTATGCTGATATAACTAGTGTGTCAAACAAATACAGGTACTACTCAGGATGCCATCCTAACACAATTCAACTTCAGTGCATTACGATTTCTTTTGAATGAATTCCTGGTGGGTAATGTTCCCTAGACACAGGAAGAAAGGTTGGCTAGTTCCTGAGGTTTCTCCTCAGTCTCAGGTAATTGACAATTCTCTTAGAAAATTTAAATAAATTTGTCTTTCTCTTTAATGGTATTGTGAGTACACATGCTGGGTTTATTTAGAAGATATTCTTCAAGACCTAATTCTCCACTGGAAGACAAGAATAGGGATGTTTATGCTGCTCACAACACGACCTCTTTAATGAAAATGAAGTTTGAGTGTTGGGTGAAAAGAACTGATTACAGACCATCTGAAGTTCTCTGTTCACTCATTGCTGAGGAAAAGTTAAGTTGTCTATTAGAGGTGAAATAAAAATGCATTCTAATCAGACTTTTATTTTTAACTGAAAATATTCATTGGAGACTGTTGCTTGAGGTAGTAAAGGAAGATTGAAGAGTGAATTAGGGACCATCTCAGTTTGCAATTTGATCTTTTGTCGGCAAGATATGCTTATGGAAATGTACGTCCAGATTCTCTTAGAATATCAAGCATCCCACCTCATATTTGGCTTGTTCCCTTGATGTTACTTTGCTCTAGTCTGTGTAGCAGTAGGAAGAAAGGTTTCAGTTGGTACCAACTTATTTATGACAAAAGGAGAGGAAAAACTGGACACTGAAGCTGATTATCGGTCAGTTTCTTCCGATGGACCTAATATCCTGAGCTGTATTTGCATATCACTCTTAGCCAATGAGATTAGAGAATGTCCCCTCAAATGGTAAATTATATAATACATTATTTTTTGGATGAAGGCAAACACACTGGAATACAATGCCAAATTGGCATGAGTGTTTTAAGATGAAAAGTAAGTCCTTCAACAAAATTCAAGCCTGAGATGATTCCTCTAGGCTGTGTTCCCAGCCCCCCTGGGATTATGTGCTCGATCTGTCTTCTCTGTTCCTAGGTTAAATCTTGTAGAGAAGGTTCAAACACACACATTTGAAAATATGCCATCATTCTTGCTGAGCTACATAAACCACAAAATGGAGTCGAAGAAATCAAATCCCTTCTCTGCCCAATTTGGCCAATTACCTGACCTCCATGAATGCCATTCTCTTCACCATGATGATACTGAGAGTCACCACATAAACAGCTATAAGGACTAAGTTAGAGAATATATGTGAAACATTTTAGTACATTCCTGTGACATCCAAAGCACTGAATAAATGATAGATGTCTCTACAAAACAAAATGAAATGGAACAAAACTGAAAAAACCCAATTATGATAGTTTTCATGGACCTTCATGAAAAGTGTCCTCAGACACTTACTGAACCCATCTTTCATACAGAGTTGCTCTTCCAGTCCCAAATGTATGTTCTATTCCTTCAAGAAAATATCTGTAATGTTTTGCTGGCTTTACTTTTATGTGTCCTTGGATATGTGATCAAGTGGTATCACTATGAAGGTACTCTGTTACCATTCTCAGCAGTCATTGAGAGAGGTCTTCAATTGCCCTGAGGTTGCACTTAATTGTCTGTCTTCAGTCTCTATCTCCAGGTCTGCATCTAGAAACTTTTCTGCTAAAAAGGACTAGACTCCTAGGGGTTAGAGGGAAAAAAAACCCTGCCCTTCCACTCATATTTTCAGACATAATCTTGATCTAGGCTTAAACATGGGCTAGTCAAAGCATGAACCGAAAAAGTATATTTTTTCACATCTGCTGCATCAGAAAAAAATGTCCTTTGCATGTACTTCTGAGGTGCTGACAGAAAATGTCCCTTGAACCCATGAACATGTCAAACACTGACATGCATTTAGGAAAGCATGCCCCCCTCCCCATCCTGATTTCCAGGGCTGTGACAGAAAAGCCCCCCGTGTCCCTCCAAACCTGGTACCATCTGCAGCCAGTCTGCAGCAACCCAACACCCTGGCATTCTGATGACTAAATGAAATGAAATGGGCATATTTGTTAAAGTCAGCTGGGAAGCCACATGACTGGGTTAGTTCCCGAGTTCATAAATTTATGTCAGAGCAAGAGGAGCAGTGGAGGCTCAGGTGAACCAATTTACCCTAAGTGCAAATGGCAGTTTTGTTATTTGGTGTCAAAGTTACCAGTCGCACAGTGACAAGCTGCCATAACACATTTTCTTGTTCACTAAAGAACAAGGATTTCGTTGGTTAATATTCCTTGCAATGCTCCTTTTCATAATTTACAACAACTAGATGCTGATAGGTTATTTAACATTTATGAAGTTAAGATGTAATCAGAAAAACCCTGATTATCTTTACAAATAAAAAAGTTAAATTATTCAACTTTTTTTTTT